TATAAATCGACGAGAGCATCAGTTTCTCAGTTGTCAAAAGCTGTTTATTTCAGCATAAGTTAGGAGTATTGAGATATCCCTGTATCAGGCTGAAAAGCACCTAACCCAACCCAGTGGGCCAGCTGTTCTGTCGATGACGAAAATAAAGATATCTCTGTGTGAGTTTCCTCTTTCGATGCATTGTGTTTATCGTTCATAGAAGTTTGAAGTGTAACTGCAGCTTGTACTCTGTGATACTGTGAAGATTTTTTGCGACTATTTTTCTGCAAAGTTCCAGAACTGTTGTTTCTTTCGATAAAATAAATTTTATCAATCTATCTCCGGACCTGTGTACATTCAGTCTGTTACGAACATGTACCGACGCAACAATACTTTCGTTTTCGTTCCTCATATTCTTCTTTTTGCCAACGCTCTTCAGTTTCTTTTTGACACTTTCGATCTTCACTTTCTTTTTCTGTCATTTATTATAGTGTTCAAACATTCTCTAATAAATTCTACATCGTACTCTTTGCTCGGCAAAATTATTTTTTTTTTCAAGTCTCTCATTTACATCTTCATCCAGTTCTTCAATCGCATTTCTTTGCCTTACCGGAGACATTTTCTTGCTTTTTAAAATCTATATATATTATTATTAACTTCTAGATAAATAACTTAATACAACTATTGTTATTTTTGTAAGTTTGTTTGACGTTTGGAATATATCTCGTAATTTAAAAAAAGTATTCTATTTTATAAAATATGTTACATCAGTCAATGCAACGCACCTTGAAATTCAGATTTATCTTGTTTACATGTAGCAAATCATTGTAGCTTAATGATTTAGCATTGTTTCAGAATTTATCTCGCTTTTGATTTCTGCCAGCTTCTTCTGTATTTAAATTAATCACTCATTAGAAATTTTTTAAAGACAAACAATTAAAAGATAAATCGTAGTCGTAACTTAATAGGCCTATGCATTACTTATTCTTAAACATTATTTATATCACTACGGACGTTCTTACTGCATCGTGTGTATATCGATGGTACATCTTTTTTGAATGCACTGCGTCCAGAATTAGCTGTTGCCATTTCTGAGTAGATATTGTCTAATATCAATAAATATTTTATAATCATGCTTGCATCACAAATATCTTTCTTGGAAAACATCGGGGAAAAAGTCCAGTCTGGTCCATATTAAAAGTCTATTCTGCGCTAAGATTTTCTTCTGCTCCCTCGCACAGAAAATTCATCAATAAATCCCTCTGCAGCATCTTTATCTTTATCTGCTGAAAGTTTTTTCCCATAGGCTTTCGGATAATGTATATCGTAGCTTAAATCTATTCAGCCAACCGCTGCTGAAATCGCATGTCTGCTCTATTTTTAAATCAGCGGCAATCTGCTTTCCTTTTTCTCTCAAGAGTGGTCCTGAAACTGGGTACCTCATCACTCCGCCGCTGCCGAAACCACTCGTACGAAATACTATTTGAGTTTTGCCGATTTCGTTTCGTGCAAAGATTTCCGGTGTTAGACTCATTGCTGCTGTAAAATTTTTTCCGAATAATCGGAAGCTATATAATTATTATAAGAGTTGGTGGTACTTTAGAAAAGAAAATTTCTGAAGGTAAAAGTACAATAATAACTACATTAATAAATATTATGCAGAACATTGTTTAAAATTTAATGCATAATAAAGGTTCTTGCGATGATTGTTTCTGAAAATAGTGATTTCTCAAAACATAATTGAATCAATATTTTATAATGAAATTAATTTTATTTTGACCACATCTTTCAGTCGATCTGGCAGTTACAAGATTAAATTCTTTTTTGTGAAATGGCGTCTTCCCCCCCCTCAAACTTACAATTTTTCCCACAGAGATAATGTTGGATTTTTCGAACTCTTAAACACGAAATGCTACAGGACCATAACCGGGAGTGATGTTCTCTAAGCCGACAGTATCCTTAGAGGACAAAAATCGGCCATTGTTACAAAACTCGGAGCGATGATTTTAAGAAGGATGCACATTTATTTCTTTAGTTCATGAAGCTACACTGAAAGTTATGAATTTGAGATTTTGATTGGCACAGTAAAACCATTATTCCAAATGATCTTCACCATTTATTATCTGAAAGAGTAACTCTTTTTTTAATTTACCCGATATTTTTTGTTAAGGGTTAATGAATGCAGAACAAAGAAATTAACTAGGAAATGGGATTAAAACATGACCGTTCTAAAGACCTTCGCTGAAGAATATAGACTATTTTAATTTCGACTCTGAAAACAGCCTGCTTTTTAACATATTATTCTGAAATTTTATTGGACGCAAAGAAGTACTGTCCCAACATAGAACCAATCTGTAAAATACCAACGAATGTGTCAACATGCTTCTCATCTTTTACATAACCTTTACCATAAGTTAACATTTTCATACATGAAAAACAAATTATGAAATTAAAGACACAGAGAAACTCCTTTAGGTATGTTAGAAACAAAATTATTTCAGTTATGTGAAAATTTCATCCTTCTGTTTGTTAAAGTTCTTTACATAGGCTGTTATTAAAAAAAAATAAATAAATAATAATAATCCTTTGCGAATAATGTGGCCAGTGGGAGACTCATTTAAAACAGTTGTCTTGTATGTGCTGCAAAAGATGACAGAAGCCAAACACCTTTATAATTCAGAAAAATGTTAATATATCAGACTTGTTCTTATAATGAGTGTTTTCTCTTTTTTCCCCCTCTAATGGTGGGCACTTGCCCTATGCCACTAAGGCCAGATTGGTGGTCTCTTTATTATGGAGGCACCTAATAGGTAGGCCACCGTTGCCTCCTATGAAAGGACAGACAATTTTTACATCCATGTCTTCTCCGAGATTGGAACCCGGACCCTTCGGTATCGCAGTCAGGCTTCCCTAACCACTATACCGTCTGCGCAGCAAAATGAGTAGTTATCAGTTAAGTATCTATTTTCTCATTCCTTTCTGGGCTTCAGGATTTAATTCTTGTATTATAGAACTAGTTAGGCTTTTCATGTTATGCAGCAAAATTAATTTAATATATTTGAAATCTTATAAGCAGTATTAAATTTTTCTATCTTATAATTTTAGCAATGGGAATAGAGAAAAATATATACTTACTAATAGTACAATTTAGATTAATTTCTAAGGAAAGGAAATAAGTATTTAGCATTTCAAAATGGTTTTTATAAATTAGACTCCCAAATAAACAGATAAAGGAAAATAGTATTTTTAAAATGTTATATTTCTAAAAATGTAATTTTAATATATGATCAATTATTTTTAAGGATGTCGTAAATGTTATTATAATTCTTAGTTTATTAACATTATTGTAACAATGTTATTATATTTGTTAAATTAATCTGAAAATTGCCAAATTTAGTGATACACATGAATTTATATTTCAAAAGAGGAAAAACTTTTATTTGATATAATAAAAAGGATAAAATTAAATGGTTACCCAAATGACTGCCAAGAGTAGTAATTTAAAATACAGAATTGGCAACAAATCAAAGCCTCACCAATGGCCGAATGGTTAAGATCACTAAATGCTGGTAGCTTTTCCTGGCTTCAAATCCAGGTGAAGAAACTTGGGTCTCTCCATGTGCAGTGTGAATACAAGCCAGTTTCCTTCAGATTTCATGAAAACATCCCTCCCTTTAGACAGATGGCCATTGTATGCTTTGTCATATTCCAATAACAAACCAACCAGACGACAAATGGCTAAACTTGGACAATTTATGGCACCTTTATAAAATACTAGAAGAATTTTTTAAGAGAGGGGAACAGATACATTGTAAATTGCGATATTTTTTGTAAAAATTATGAAAAATTCATAAAAGTCGTAAATATGGTATAATAATAGTGATCACTTTTTAAAAATCCTGATTGAAATTTAAATTCTGATGAAAGTACCCAACAGGTTTAATATCATTTCGCTCAGAACATAAACATTTTGTATCTATATTTTTATGTAACTCTTAATTTCACTTGAAAAACTCCCCAGATTCTGTGGAACAATCATTTAGGGAACAAGGTAATATATAAAACTATTTATATTTCTATCAAAAATTTGTTTTCATATACATTCTAGTAATTATTCACATAATAATTCTAAAACTTTAACATAAGATGAAGAAAACAAATATTTGTACTTATGTTTTATTGCAACCCCCTTTGCAGAAGTCATCAAGTTTTTAGAATGTGCTAAGCCCTGGTAATAACAATTCCTCAATCAAGCAATGGCGTGATTTTCATATGCATTATTTTGGCTGTATTCGAAGTTCCAATGGTTTTTAAGATAAATCGTGATATTTTTTGCCTTCAACTCAATTTAAAAATATCATTTATGGAATTTACCAGCAGTGGAAGAAATGAAGTAAAAGTTCAGATAGAATGCAATATTTTGCTGCAAAATCGCTAAAGAGAGAATGAAGAGAAGAGTTTGATAGATATCCAGTGCACAATGACAAGTTTGCCACAATTCTTTGCTTTGATATTTTTTCTAAGCGAAAACAGATCTTTGTGTATATGGGGCATTACAAAATTAAAAACTCTGCAAAAAATGTGTTTTTTATTTTTTAATATATTATATAATTCTTACTTAATTCCTATAATTAAAATTTTTTATTGTTTGCCTATTTATGCTAAATATAGTTTAAGAATGTTTTTAAAAAAATCTCAAAAATCACCATATTGTATCCAGTAAGTAATGTACCTCTTCATCAGTAAAGACCACCACACTGCATCAAAATGGTAGTGTTCATACATAAATATATATTTATATTTTTAGCCTACATACATTAAAAAATTTAAATTCAAAATCTGATTCAGTGTTAAAATATATCCATTCAAAGCATTACCTAAACATCCACATATTTTCTTAAAGGCAAAAATATAAACCCTCAAAAATCTTACTTTCAAATTATTAAATAAATTGAAGTGAGTATAATGTGAATCTTTAAACATTTATATGCAAAAATATTTTATGCAAATGTATTATCCAGTTTCAGAATCAAAGATGGCTGTTACTGATGAAATTCAGCATGAAGTTCCAGTAGTCCTACAAGAAGACTGCAATGACAAGCCAAAAGAACCACAACCACAATGGGTTATCAAAAGAAACAACCTTATACGCAAATCAGATTCAAAACTTGCCTCTTCCTTTAAACCAAGAAAACGAATTGCACACCACAAGAATGCATTTCATTTGGACTTGCGTAATAAATGGTCTCAACTTGTCACTAATAAGATTTCAGCCCTCGCATTCCAGCGTTCACTACAAGGACATAGGTGCTGCAGCTGAAAATATTTCACCAAATATTATTATTTGTCCGATGATTATTGCACATCATGGATTTTGAATTCCAAGTCTTAGGGGACCAGGAAAAGAAATACAATTATTTCCCCTTATGCAGGCGTTTCTTCAGCTCGTTCGACTGAGCCATCTTATAGAATATCAAAATTTTATATATCTTATAGACCTGTTCTTCATCTGCCTGACAAAACACAGTTAAGCAGTTTTAAATGCAATAGCAAGTTCTTGGCTTGAATAATTATGAAATGTCATAAATCTTGAGATAGTTTAAATTTTATTTAATAACAGCTATTTCATTTTGTACTTTACCAAATGCAAAATGAAGCCATAAAACATGATAAGAATAAAATACTATATTGACCAACAAGTGCTGCTTTAATTCAGAGTTATTTATATACTAGGATACTCCAGTAATTCTACTTTATAAATATCGCATTACACTGACTTTTTGGGAGGGGGAGGAAGAAAAAATACAATTTGTAATTCTACTCTAGGAAACATGTTCACATGTTCTTTTCGATTTACTAAAACTGATGGCTATAAAGTGTATGCATTAAATATTTCAACAGCTTTGGGAATTTTAAACCAATATTAGTTAATTCTAGTTGCACCTGTAATGAACAAACAATTAATTCTGAGCATATTTGTTGAAAAAGGTATTCAAATTTTTACTATTTTATTTTTTATGGCAACTAAATCTGCTGAAATTCAAGAACAAACCTTTTAATTTTCCTTAAATATTCGCCGGTTATTAAAAGATTTAGTGTGTTTTTAGCAAAAAATTATCTAATACCAAATTTTAAACTTTAAGACTACTAAAGCATTTTTTAAAACTTATACAGTCAAAAGTCTTTAATCCGGACTCTTCGGGACTTCGGCGACTCCGGATTATAGATCCTCAATTTAAATCTGGTAAGATGGCATGCAGAAATTATAAAATTAAAAATATGAAACTGTAATTTATGAAATAAAGAGCAATTATGATCTAAAGGGTAACAAAATTTACAAAAAAAAAAAAAAAAAGGTTAATATTTATTTGTTTACTTTATTAAACATTTCTTTCAACGCGCGCATGCGTAAAGCATACATTACGCATAGTCGAAATAAGAAAATTGCAACCAGAAAACTATTTGATGTGTATTCGTGATATTTATCATGACGAGGAATTTGATTTAAATCATATCAAAGACGGAGTACATCAAGATGAAATACTACATTTAGTAAGGAATTATAAGCCGAATAAAATAAAAACATCTGCCCTGAAGATAAGGATAGTGCTGACAGATCAACTTCCAGTGCATTGCGCGACGCGACGTTTCCCCCTTACCCCCCGCAGAGTAGCGTGAAATTGATAAACAGATTTCGGAATGGTTACAGAAAAAAAGGATATGCCTTTATCCATTTTTTGCAGCAATTCCACTTTGTGTTTGATGGACATCGAAACATGCTTTCGCTTTGTAGATTCTTCGGCAGCTCCAGAATCGGAAATTCTTTTTGACATAATCGAAAGTTCAAGCTTACTTTTATAAAATTGCTCTAACAGTCTGCAAAAAATAATAAGCTGGATCCAATTCGAAGATTAAGGAACAACGCAATCTGCAACATTAATTGAAATAGATAATTTTAGTTTAGCTCATACCGTCCGTTATACATTAAACGCGCATGCGCAGAAAGCTTGTAGCTTTGAGGTCCGGATTATGGACGTCCGGATAAGACTTTTGACTGTATTAGAATTTTTTCAACAGGGGATGCAAGCAACAGCTATGTTTGGAAGACATGTTCAAAACTGTTAATGTTAAAAGCAGATCACAGCTAATACAGTACAAAGTCCGAGATCCGGATTGATCTAAAATTCGGACCTCAAAACCGTTTTTCTTTTAAATGCTTCATGCATGCGAATTTGATATTTTCCCACATAAATAAAACATCTGGAGAGAGTTCCGATTTTTGATTTCCTTTCCGCACTAAAATACCTCGTTATTGAAGAAACAATTAGTTAACATAAACTTGCGTGATCAATAATTTGGCTCTGTAGCTGTATGTCTGCTTGGCATACATCTCAAACTGAAACATATTTTATATCCCTAATTCCAACCTGGTGAATCATTTATTATATTTTGCTTTCATCACCGCATGTGTTATCAACACATGATGACGACTTGAGTAATAACTCATGCAGCAATGCCCAAACAATTTTTTTATATTAGTATTTTAATAAATAAAGAGTATGGTAACACTTATGTTTACATTATGCTTGGCAATGATTACACCAAGTTAAATGCACTAAGAAATATTGGCGAGGAAAAATTTAACAAAAATTTCTTCTCATATGCTAAAAATAGATTTTGTTAACCCTTCAATAAATGGTGATGCATATATGAATCATACCAATTTTTACTGAATTTAGCATTAAAAAAATTTCACAGCAGACGGTTTCCTGGACTGACTTTTATCTTAACTATACCCATATCAATGTTTAGCTATTCTTTTCCCTAGTGGATGGCAATATATAACTGTGCTCTTTATTTCATCAGTGCCCAGAACACAAAATTCATTTCTGTTTTGTCAATGGTCAAGATAGCTTTGTGTTATTCATAAATTCGATATTAGACGCTTAAAAATTTTACTCTGTATAGCTGAATGTATGTACTTTTCAATTCTATGTTAATACTTAATTGTAAAACTGTTTTAAAATAAAATATTTCAATTTTTCTGTTTGATTCATATATGCAAGTTTTTCATCAATTGTTACGAACTCACCGACATAGTAATATTTCTGGCAGTTATTCACAAAATCTTCAAAAGACTCTCTTATAGGTGACAGTTTATCTGATTCTTTCTTGACTACACGAGTTCCTATGCCATCAAAACGCAAACATCTTGATAAAAAAGAAAACGTTTGTATGATATAGTTTTGTGGAAAATTTCCAAGCCGGTTCAGTTTGTTGCCCACAAATACCGTACATTTACATGAGATGTCACCAAAATATATGAAAGACCTATAAAAGCGGATTTCAATTAGAGTAGTGTGCCTAGCCTGTCTCTCTCTTTGAAAGCTGTCAGAAATAGATGCAATATAAATATTTGTATGACTGAAGACTTTCAGCAACATTGTTCACTTAGTAAAAGCTCCCACGATTCATTCCCAAGAGTCTGCACATATTTTGCCTTACCGATGTTTCCAGGCAATTTAGTAATAATATTATGAGCAGCTTTTAACATCAGCTTTAGGCTTTTCTTTTAACCATTGATTTTTTGTCTTTTCCAATAAAGCAATAAATGTCATTCTGATTTTCGTCTTCAGAATGCATCTCGATTTCTGAATCAGTATCATGACAACTAAAAAATTCACTATAACTTACATCATCAGTTTCTTCAATGGATTCTTCAACAACTGATACATCTTCTGATAATTTTTGCAAACGTAACATTTCGTCCTTATAGGATAAATTACGCGACTTGTTTGCAGCTTTCTGTGCTACCACGAATGAACTACGTTACAGCAATGCCAATAGACGCGCTGGGTCTGAAAGACCCGTTCCGATCAAAACAAAACTTCGAATCAAATTTCCAGCGAAAATCTTCGGAAACATAAAGAGGATGGCCTTGGAGGAGACTACACTGAACCACAACCTCTTAGGGAAAATAAGGGCGTTTTCAGAAAGGTTCCTTTAATCGGGCGGGTTCATTGGATCCAACGCGCGCACTCCTCGCGAGTTAATTATAAGACTACATACTTTTTATTACATGATTATCTTTATATCAGCAAAACCCACTCGGTGTTGACATGCATTGTTCTTATTTAGAGTCATAAAATATTAATTTTCTGTCTGTAATTATGCAGTACTAATATTGTTTGTTTGTATTGAAAATTCCATTAATTTTTTTTATGTGTTCTCGATGGATTTGCTCACACAAGTTTGAGGTATACTCAGGCTAAGAAAATCTGCTACACAATCTCATCAAATGATGCAGAATTGGACCTCAGTGTAAATGTTGTGATTAGACTTTGTAGGAAGATTCCTTGGAATAAAAATTTCAAATTATATTTTTGAAACTTTTATACTTCAATTCACATAATGAAGTGTCTAGCTGATGAGGGCATTCTTTGTTTGTGAACTGTGCGTAGGAACAGAATTCTAGGTTGCAAGCTCCTTGCAGAATAGCAACTGGAAAGAGTCGAGAACAAGCATTGGATACGTTGCAGACTGCAGTGGAACTGAAATATGTAATTTAGTATGGAAAGACAATAAGAATGTGCTATTGTTGTCTACGTTTGCTAGAAACACCCCATTGAATAGATATCTAGTTTTGATATGAAAAAAGAAGATACAGTTATTGTGGACTGCCCAAATGTTGTGAAATGATGCAAAAAACATATTGGGGGGGCGCAGATTTGCTGAATAACAACATGAGAAGATATAAAATAACTCTGAGATCAAGAAAATGGTATATAAAATTTTTTTACAACCTCTAAGACTTTGCGGTCATAAATGTGTGGCCGCTGTTCAACAGAGTGTCTCTACAGAATGGAGTCAACTCAAAGGATTTGCTAAAACTTGGCCACCTTTCAAGAGCTATCCGTTGGATTGTGGATGTAAGTTCAGTTCCTAAGCGTGGAAGACCAAGCGGTCTTTAAAAAAATTATTACAGTGGGAAAAGACAGAGAGGTCCTGCATCAAACATTCCTCCAACCTGTGCCACACAAGATAAAATCCAACATTTCCCCATATGGAACGAAAATCGCACTTGTTGTAAAATGCCAAATTGCAAACATTTATTGGATTTGAAAAATGCACTGTAGCATTATGTCTGAATAAGGATAGAAATTGTTTTGAAATTTTTCATACAACACAAATTGCTCAATAAATATTCATGTACAAAATATTTGATACCTTATTTATATTTTCATCACAATTTTTATAAAGTCTGAATATCATTAGTTAGAATTAAGTTTTAATAAAATTTTAATTAAAGTCAATATCTTCTAAAAACAATAAATAGTTACGTATTTTATGCCAATATTTATTAAATATATTACCGTAAATGATTTTTCATGTTACATTTTAGTGCTAAATGCATGACGATGCGCATATGCATCAAACCTAAAAATTCAAAATATAACCTATAAAAAAAGTTAAATAAATTTTTTAATATTTTTCCATATTTATTTAAGCCATGACCATGAAGAAAAAAACGTTTGGTAAAAATATAAAAATTCATGCATTGAAGGGTTAATGATACTCATAGGCCAAAACATTTAGTGCTATTTGAATTAAGAATAACTGATTTGTTTGTCACATAAACCCAGAACCGGTGCCCACCTGGCGGCAGAATTTAGGGAAGACAAGATTTTTGGAATTT